TATCAAACTCTGCAAATGTCTGAATTGTTTTCAACAAAAAAACCAATATATTTTTTCTGATAAATCTCAATATCCAAAATGTTTGGTAAAAAAAGATTGCAAGAATATAGTTTCATTGTAAATGACAATAATATAAGAAGAGATAATAAAAGAAGAAGTAACCTATGGAAGTAAGTATTGTGAAAGAATGCAGTTATAAAATATGAAATCAGCAAACTATCCAAGCGCGGTCAAGTTCGAAAAATCGGAAAGGTGTAATCGATCGGTAGCTATATAAGGATATCCGCAATAAGGGTGAAACCAACTCCCCGAGGGAGGGTTATATGGTCTCACGAGCATATTTGCGAACCGCCCAAGAAGCAGGGATTCGTGTCACGAATGCTTGCGTATCAAAGAAACCACGAACAGCGCAGAGCAGCGGAATATTTTTATAACACCCCGTCGCCGCGCTGCAGATCGGGGAAAAGGGAGGTATGTCGTAGGAGACGACACGCGAGGGGGCGTCAGGTTTCGACACGAAAGCTCCTCGAACGAGCGCGTTTGCAGGCCTTATCGCGACGTAAGGCCCTAGGTAGAGCTTAACCCTTCGAAGGAAAGATCTAATCTGACCGGCGGCGGTTTCCTTGGACTCGCTGCTGCTCGTTCTCGTGCTCGCTCCGCCGTTCTCTTACACCCTCTCCGCAAGAGCCGTCGGCACCCGTGCCACCTTGGAAAACCACCCCTTTGCACCCCACTAGTTCCCTTCTTACCACTGCGATCGCGGTCGACCGTTTACTACCGTCGTCTCGTGGTCGACACGATGACGACGATGTCGCACGCCACTCATGGGAGCGCGAGAACGCTTGCACGCTCTAAACGAGAGCAATTTTGCGTATGTGTGCGTGTATAGATGTGCGTGTGTGTTTGCCGGATATTCCGGCCGCGTTGAGTTGCGGTCGATCATTTATTCATATGTAATTTATAGGGTAGGTAGCGAAGTGCTCGCGAGCGACAACGTGCCGGGATCGAATGACCCGATAGGGTAGAACGTAATCCTCGTTAATTGCGTTTTGCAATAAGGCAAACTAAAGATTTCCATTAATACTTATAGAAAAAAATTTAATCTTAAAAAATTTTATATCTGTTAAGATTTATGTGATGAAAAGATTAATCGAGTTTCATATTGGTAATAGTGTGATTAAAAGTTCGATTCTGTTCTTATTGAAAAATAAAAGAAAAAGCTTTTTGTAAAATATATTTGTACTGATGGATATTTTAAGAAATTCTCGTAACTCTTAATTTTTCATCTCAAAAATGAGGAATGTAGATTAGAAGTAATGATTTTTTAATGAATGTGTATAAACGTGCTATCGCTTTTTATTCAAATAAACTTGGTTTTTTTTAAGTGGCCAAATTATTTTGAGTATCGAGATATCTTTGTTATTTTAATTTAAGCTAGTTAACTAAATTAAATTGATAAGATATTCTCGATTTCTATTTCAATCTCGATAAGAGAATTAAATGTTTTTTATTTCGCAACTTTATAATTTACTATCTACTAATATAACTAATACGACTAAGATTTTTGCTGTAAATACATTTATATAATTCTATTAAACATTAAGTTTAATATCCTATTTGCCACTAAAACTGTCTAAAAATCTTTAAAATCGATGAAGAATTTAATCTACCAGCTTAGATTGAAATGAAATATTTTTTTAATCTCATCTGTCATGCAAAAAATTGATGTTATTTCTGTCCTAAAATGTTGGACAGAATTGGATAGGATCAAATCGAGATTTCTCAGCGATCCTCGAGATCGAAATACATCGATTTGACATTGTAGCGTTTCTCGTCGACGTTTGTAACGACGCGAGCGTACCACGAATACATAATTACATATCGAGGACATTTAATACACGCTTTTCCGTATAATCTTTCGATAGCGTCTTCGCCGACCGTGTATTGATGGTATGTGCACATGGACTTTGGCGTGCGTGCGTGCGTGCGTGCGTGCGTG